GTGAACTGAAATGCTTTATCGCTCACACTCATTGACGTTCAGATCTTCTTTTACTGACGTCCGATAGAATCTCAACTTCAGCCTCTTAGCGAGACCTTCAGCCTCCTCACTGAAGCAACAACACAGAAGGTTTGCCATCGGCCACATCAATCTCTACCGTCGCTGATACTGTGCATTAAACAGCATTACTGAACCCTGATTCTTTTTGTCTTACTTTTTGATAACCGTGTCGTCCAGCAGATCGATTTTGTTCTGCACCAGGACGGTGGGAATGTCTCCGACCTCCATCTCCACTTTCTCCCTCCAGCTGCTGATGGCCTCAAAGGATTCTCTGTCGGTGGTGGAGAAGACCAGCACACAGGCCTGAGCTCCTGCAGGAGCAAACACACGTCACAAACCTGCTCAAGGCCTCGAACCTCACAGCCAAACGGTCTCACCTCTATAATAGGCCTTGGTGATGGCATCAAACTCCTCCTGTCCTGCTGTGTCCCACAACATCAGCCTGACGTCCTCACCGTTAACTCTGAAACGCATGTAATGTAAACCTGATATATGCATTGGGTCAATATCTAAAAGACTGCTGAAATACATCAAATAATTAGGTGAAAAACAAATAATGGTAAAATAATTTCCCTAAATCTTTTTGGGCCGCATGTCAGGTCAAGCAGGCTTACAACTGCAATTCACATCTGCTTTCATTCTCAGTTTGACTAAGCATTGCAACAGATGAAGCCACTGCCAGCTCATTTGTTCCTCGTTTCGTTTTGTGTGTACAAACAGTAAACCGCAGAGATTTTCTCTGGCATTTACTGCCGATGACACGTCTCATGTTATATTGGAAAGAGACTGATATCCAGGAACTACTGCTAAAAAAGCAAGAGGATGTTCTTTTCCCAAGGGGTTGCCTGAGCGTCACCACGTGTTATTTGTCATGAACAATATTTAAATGCAAACAGGACGACTGCTCGTTCGGAAGTGTTTTGTCGTCTGCCATGACAAATGTGAGCCAGATTTACTGGCATTTATTTCTGTTTAAAAGTTGTGAATGATTGAGGCTTTGTTTGTATGTATGAGTTGATTACTGTACCTACTGTGCAGTCAGTGCTGGGTAGTAACTGATTACATGTAATCTGGATTATGTAATCAGATTACAAAAATTAAGTACTTGTAAGTAGAGTATATTACATTTTAAAATGCCCATAATCAGATTTCAGTTACTTTTGTATGGATTACATATCGTTCTGGACAAAAAACATTTCAAACCTGGAAGACTTTGGGTGTGTCATTGCTGTTTCCATGTTTATTAATGTTTGTTCCTGTAATGAACATTCCCATGTTTTTGTGAGCCAAACTCCTCAAATAAAATAGTTCCTAGTTAATATTTCAATAATTTAGATTTTTACCAACCCACTGCAGTTCTTACATTAAACCCAGTTTGGGAAACCCTGGTGTAATGTAATTTTTAATGCATTTTTTGATGTTGATATAAAAAATTGAATATATTTTCTTTAGTGCTGTAAAAATTAGTGTTAACGCAGGCGATTATTTTTTTTCAGTTTAACACGTTAAAAATATTTAACGCAATTAACGCAGGGGCGGAGCTAGTGTTGGCCACCCCACACACAACTGTAGCACATGCTCTTCAATTGCACGCACAAATGCAGTGGCGCACGCTGTTTATAATTTCATATTAAAGCGCAAAAGAAACTACGAGCATGCAATATCAGTTAAGTCATGAAGTTACTTAGTAGAGACTTTAAGACCTGAAGCATGTTAGCAAAGGTAAAGAGATTTGAGAAAATAGGATGCGTGTCAGATCCGCGTGATGTTCAGCAGCGGCAGCTCTTAAAGTAATAGCAGCCAAAACAACCTAATAACCAGCTGCTGTGATGTCTTTTCATCAAAGAACTAAAGAAAAAAGAGGAAATCAATAACCTTTGTAGCTTTAAGGATTCAAATTTAGATTTAAATTAGAATTTAGTGTTTGATAACTTTATTCAATTTCTGTATATTTCCTACTTGCTGAAGGGCACAGGTAACTAAATATGACATCCATTATAATGGGTTTATGTGAAGATTGTTTTAAGTTCACATAAATTAGAAGATATTTTAAGTAGTCTAATAAATGTTCAGATTGATAGCTCTCAATTATACTGTAATGCTGAATGCCTATAGTCAATGGTTAAATATTAGGAAAAAGAACATTTCCTAGAGACATCAGTAGTACTGGTATCAGTAGGCGCGTTTCCATTACCCTTCAAATTGCACAAATTGAAATTGCGAATAGAAAATACGCCTAATGGAAACGCACAGAATGAGGCAGGTCAATTTCATAAAAACGTCCATATATCGCAAAAAAGTTTACACGCTTGCATGAGGTGGTTTTTCAGGCAATGCGAAAAAGGAATAATTAGGCAAAAGGTTATGTTTTAGTCGCATAACATTGGTTAATGGAAACGCCGTCATTTCACAATACTTTTTTTATTGACATTTATAAAATATCACCAAAGTTTTGCGCAAATCTGTAATGGAAACGCGCCTAGTGATACTCTCCTGCAGTCATAAAACAAATATTAAAAATATAATGCATGTTGATTCTACATTAATTTGAAGATTGAATGTGAAATTATTGCAATATAAAAGTATATTTAAAAACTGTATATTTGAACAAATGTTAGGTGGGATTAATCGAAACAGCACTCATTTTCTTTCTTTCTCTTTGCTTTGTTTTATTATATCAATGTGGTACATTTAATGGTAAGTTTAAAACAAGTTAGATTAAGAAAAGTCATCTAAAAAGTATTCAGAATACATGACCTAAAACGAGTAACCTAGATTATGTTACTAACTATGGTTTTCATCGTGCAATCTGTAATCAGTAACAGACTACAAATGGTAAGTAATCTACAATCTACTGTGTGTAGTACATACTACATACTCCTACTCATTTCTAAAAAGCAGTATATGAAATAGAGTTGGGCGGTAACTTCCAAAATCTTCCTATGAGAATTAATCACAGTAACAGTGTGTGTCAAATGGGTCAGTCCATTTCAATTGGCTCAAAAAATGTCAAGTTGGTTGCTTGACCTTTTTTTAAACATTTTATTTTATTATTTTAGTTTAGTGACTCCCTTTAAATGTGCTGGTTTTGCAAAACCACCAGTTTTTCAAATTTGTATTATACTGGTTTAACAACATTTTTGTGTCATGGCAACAAAGACCATTTTGGCAACAAAAAATGTTGGTTACATGAATGTTTACGGAAACAATATCTCAGCTCAGGATGGTCTGATTTTGTGAAAATCTATGGCAGCTGTAAACTTATGACTTTCAGATTCCACTGGTTACGACTAGTAGAAATCGGAGGTAAAAACCTTCTTTATTCGTGTGCTTATAATAATGTTCAAGCAAGATCCAATGGTCCACCTGAGATGGATTAACCCAAACTGGTTTGTATACTACATAACTTATGATAAAGCCTATTTATGGATAATCTAGTGAATTAAATACAAATAACATACTTATTTAGAACTTGAAGGACACAAACCAACAGATCAGATTATTCATGACAAAGGAATAATGAGTCTTATCTTGGGGTTGAAAAAAAAAAAACTGTCAAAATAACCCAATGAAAAGAATAGCTCAGCCTGTAAATTCTGATTGGATGGGCCGTATACGAAGCTGTTGTAAAACAGCAGATATACACACACCTGTGACCACATCTCACTCGATTTCTGTACTGATGTTGTGACAACCACTAATAACTAAACAGCACTCAAAATGTCAGAATGATTCAGATGGCCAATCAAATCAAAGAAGGCGGGGTTTACTGTTAACGGAGACCGAAAATGAATTCCAACATGCCACCTCAGTTTTAACAGTGAAAGAGTGCAAGGTAATATGTAATGTAGCTAAACATGTAATATTTGACTACTGTTTAACGATTTTAAACGACTGACATTATTTAGTTCATAACTGAATGTGACGTGACAAAAAACATTAATGGAGCTGATTTGGCATATTACACAGCTAAGGTAAGCACTGAATGTGTGCATATAAAAAAAAAAAAAAAGGTTTATTTGCAAATAGTTGAATGAATTACTTCATAATAAAGTTATTTTCTTTATTCCCGTAACTCCCTTTAAATCCGTTAATTCCTTTAAACCACTATTAACACGCCAAAAATGTGCTTTGGTTCCCCACAATGTTTAATACATGTTTACAGATTACTCATGGTTATAGATTTTAAAACTCACATCTGATATCGCTTCTGGTTCATTTGTACAATGAAGGTCAAGGTGAATGCATCTCGAATACATATTCCATGTAATATACTCTTGTGTCTGTCTATACTACGCATTCTGACAAATGAAGTAGATCATTCACACAAAAAAGTGTGCAAAAATACTTTGCATTAGTAATGTCAGCATGCTATCCAAAACAACTTCTTAGATTACTCGGTTTCTAAAGAAATGGTTTTCTTCTTCCAGGTAAAAATGGCATTTTAAGAAACTGAGCAGCAAAGACATGAAGCCAGCCTTAATGCGGTCCACCTGCCGAGCAATAAGGTTCAAACATAGAAACCAAAGAGCGCAGACAATAGGAAACCTATAAAAGCATTTCAAAGCGACCCGACTGAAGCGTAAAAGCATGCTTACATGATCTGTCTTTCCAGAAAGTCAACCCCGATGGTCTTTTTGTAGTCCTTCGTGAAGATGCCCTTGCAGTATCGCTGGATCATACTGGACTTCCCGACCGCTCCGTTCCCCACCACCACCACCTTGATGGCCACTTCCATGTCCTCCTCCAGCATGGCTGCGATGTGCCTGTGCTTTCACCTCACTCCGGCCCGGCTCACTGCTGCTGTAGGATCTTCTCAACTCTAGCCTGTTTTAGGAAAGCAGTTGACAGATCAGTCATAATCCCACACATTATGACACATCAGGTGTTACTTCAATGCACATTTTCACCACCTTTGCTGACAGGATGCAAAAAAAATGGCATCATTGTCGTTTCCTGCATCATGATCTAGAGACGTGATCTATTAGTCCCTGAGGGGTTTGGGTCAGTTTGCATTGAGTAAGAGCCTGCTATATGGGTCTGGGCTGTGCTTACCATGGCTGGCTTCCCACTTCATGATGCATGGTCAATTGATTTATTTTGAAGATTTTTTGCACTGCAACTTTATTTTCGTAACAAATAAGCCCATTTGTCCCCAAATTCTCTTTACTGTAATGCATCTGGACTTTTAATTTTGAATTTATTTGAATTCCTATTATTCCCAATGGTGACCATGAGTAATATAATGCAAAGATGCATCATTGAAATCAGCATTAGTTGCAACAAGTTCTACCATAATGATACTAGATTTTAATTATATATTAAAATGTTTTTTTTTATTGTAATGAGAATTTGGGTGAACATGTGCTTAATTGTCATGAAAAATAAATTCACAAGGAAACTAAAAAAAGATTCCTTTCTATAAACAAAGTGGAAGTTCTCTCTTTCTTTTGGGTTTGGTGAGAAACCTAAGCAGACATGTTTTTGACAGGTCTCATGAGGTTCACCCATAAAGGCCCAGCTTTTACCCTCAAAATAACCTGGTTGCAAATCAACAATGCATTCAACAGTTACAACAATGAAAACTGGTTAAATTTGCTAGAACAACTGCTGTTAACATAGTCTCAGTAATAAACAGGAAAATAACAGTGCTAATCTGGCCAAATTCCCTTATGAAACAAATTCACTTTTAGCTGTAAAGCAGCTCTACAAAAGATAATGGTGCCATTATGCAGCTCAATTCAGTTCGATAACAGAGCGAATGTTGCAAACCTCATTAGTTATGACGTGAACTCAGCTCAACTCTAAAGCAGCTCTACAGCAAGGACGGTGTCATTATTGAGCTCCAGTCAGTTCAGTGTTTGATTCAGTTCAGTTCAATAACTGTACGGTTCATCAATTCGGAAACAAGTTCATTTCAGATCCAAGCAGCTCTACAGAAGACACTAGTTTTGTCCGCAGCAGGAGTCTTGAACTTGAACGCAAAAATGCAATCCAAGAATGCTGGATAGATAGCAGCGCTTACATATTAGGTTACGTTCCCGAGGCCTCCCGCGTTTCTGTTGGGTAACTAAATACAGTAGCCAACCTGAGACAACAATAACATGCATGAGCCCTTCACAGCAGAATCTCCACAGGATCAGCCTTCATCAAATAAACTCGCAAAATTATGCCCTCATTAGATTCAAACCCATATCAGATCCTTCCAAATATTGGCCAATGTTCCTAATTGTATTTCATTCCTTCAACTGTATGAATGTTTTAATGCATGAATACAATGGTTCTTTTTAAATGCCATAAATATTTTCATCATTTAATGTTTTATTTATTTATTTAACTTGACTTCTACATTTATAGATCAATGTAGCCTAAACCAAACAGATATTTTAAAACACATGAAGAAAGCATTTGACTGACAAGACTGGATTCCCTTGCTTCCGTTTGGTTCAGCTTTTAGAACAAAAGCCGGATCCCAGCGTTCGTTCTTGACAGGTGTTTATGAGGTCTGGCTGTCTGAAGGGCCCACTGCGTTACTGCCATGGCACTGAGATCCACGTAACCAAGGAAGTCTGTGTGATATACAGAGCGCAGTCAAAACACACACATCCCTAAATACAAACGTACGAAAGAACCCCATCTGCCTGTTTAAAGCCGCTGTTGGTGCTCAAATTACACACGTCACACAGGATTGCATGTGTTGCAGCAGTCAGTGTGTTTAAGAGATTGACTATACTTCAAATAATGGAGGGTTCGGCTCATATCAGAGTAGCATCTGTATCTATCACCATCTGTATCTATCACCAAAGGCCATTGCAAAAAATACAGTTTACCAAATTCATTTACCATGGTATTAGATGCTACTCCAAGTTACTTCAAATAATTCCAAGGAACCCCCATATTTTTAATGTAATTCAACCCAACCCAAGTTCTTGTGATTTAAGTATTAGCAGCATGTAATTACTTGCATAAGGTTAGGGTTTGGTTTAGGGTTAGTTGGTGGTAACTCTGCGCAGCTGTTACTATAGTAAGTAACGTTCGATGTAACGTGTAACAAGGACACGGCAAAAGTGTCACTGAGACCAATACTGTGATATCACAGTTATATAACAGAGAGTAACAGCATGATACTTTGTTATGCAGACGTACTGAATGATTACCATGTTTATGCACCATGGTATTTAGACGGAACTTCGAATAATACCATGGTACTCTGTGTTCAGTGACAAAAGAGATGTTTGCAGGATGGTCTCACCTGCATTCGTGTTACCAGGTTACATTGTTTCCTCTTTGAAGATCCGACACGGGAATAATCGTGAACGCAGAGGATCCAAACACAGCGCTCGAGCGAATTATGAGTCCAAACACATCTGCTGAATGTAAACAGAAGCCAGCAGCAGCTGTATGAGCGAGCTTGTTTTGCGTTTGCACAGTTTATCAAAGGAGTGGCCTCCTCCTCCTCCTCCTCCTCCTCCTCCTTCTCCGTCTCCTTCACTGCTCTCTCTGTGTCTCTCTTACACAGACTAACAATCCCGCTTGGATACTCCAGAGTCAAACGGGCTCTGAGGAAGCAAATGTCCACAGATACAGCAGCGGCTTGGCGTGCTTTACGGTCATTCGCGACCGTGCGTCTGATCTGTTGAGCGGCGGCGGCAGCAGCATGAAGCGCGCGATCACTCGGAGACAGCGCTCTGTCGCCAACCAAACAGACCCTTTCAAAATAAAAGCCTGCCTTGACTTTTCAGAACTTCAGCACAGCTGGAACAATGCAATACAATGAAAAAAAAAATCCATCAGCACAAAGAAGAGCTGTTCCCATAAGAAAACATGGAAGACTTCAGATTGCATATATGTTCACACGTCACCCAAACAATAATGGAAAAACCATAAGAAATGATCAGCACACTTTGATTCATCAGCAGCTTCAAACATGTGATGTCTCATCCAATTAGGATGTGTTGTAGCTAGGGACGTAACGGTATTAAAATTTCTTATCACGATTATAGTGACCAAAATGATCACGGTTATCAGTATTATCACGGTTTGTTAAAATGTGCTGGAAATGTTCAAAAAGTACTGACACACAAATCATTTCACCAAGTTTTACATTTAAAATCAACAAACAACAAATAAAATTCGTTTTTGTTTGCATAACTAAAACAATAACATTGCCAATGATGTCCAATGTGTAGAATCCACATAAGCTTGTTTTTCATCAACCGGTCAAAATTTACAGCAGGGCGTGCTAATTCGGTCCGTTTTTTGATCGACACACCTATCACTTTTTAAGACTAAAACAAAAGATGGCTTCATTGTTATTCTTAATTAAAAAGCATAACAACAATAAAACAGTAAGATACAATGACAAACTAGCTTATAAAACGTTTATTAACAAAAACGAATAAGACGAGGCATGGCATACACCACATGCTGTATTATATACCGACTAATAAATTACAGAACGTTTAGCAAACACTGAGGAATCAAATAAATAAAAAAGAGAGCCTCCATAGCATAACGTGAGGTAAACAGCAAAGATAACAAGCTTTTCAAAATGAAAAAAAGAAAAGTAAAACTAAACTTGCTGTCGGTGACAGTGCTTGCATGTTTTTGTCCCACAAGAATACCAACATGTTCACCTTTGGTTTAAGAAGCGGTCTTTTACTTTACTTTAGCATGAAACCCATCCATCGTTTCCTCAATATTCGCGTCATTTTTGCTGCACACAGCTTCGCGCTCCTGACGCGGCGAGTATAAACCAGAGTCTACACTCGAAGCGCTGCGCAGCTCAAACGAGTCGCGCGGTTTCGTTATGCTTTCAGTTTCGTTTGCCGTTTGATGTTTCTCACATGCAACAGAAATGTAGCGCTTATGAGTTAAACAAGGCAGTGGTCGCGCCAGTGCGACCGCACACAAAATTTAGTCGCACCTGCAGAAAAAATTATCGCAAAATGCGCCCATCTGGTCGCACACTGGAGCCCTGTGCAGTACAGTATTTATTTATCCTCAGTTGTTCAAATCGCGGTAATCGAATACAGTTATAGTGATAATTAAAATATGAAACGGTAATACTAACCGTGGGGTGTTTTATCACGATTTATCGTCAAACCGGTAATCGTTACATCCCTAGTCGCAGCTATCCCTTTTTATCATTTTTATCATATTAAGAAAATAATCTCATCAAAATGAAAAATTGCATTTTTAGGGAGTCATTAAGAATAGTTTTATTAAGTAGAATTAGTTCTATTAAGAATTTCAAACGATAAATACAGTTTTGTTTTGGAGCTCTTGTATTCTAATTAGCATGAAATAAACATGAATGAACATCCGAGGGCGTGTTGAAAGATTCACTAACTTACTGAACAGCCTCATGCAATCACTCAGTGAGTGTTTCAGCCGAGGAAAGACAGCAGCTTGAAAACACTGTAACCTCAGAAAATCCATTCAGTGTCCATAAACTAGGGAGAAAAATGTACACGAGGAGAATTTTGCAAAAAATACATTTATACTATTTTTTACTCAAATAATTACTCTTTTTTTATTATAGTTAATAAATATGTAGATATAACGGTATTATAAAAATGGTATAATATGAACTTGTATACCAGGGGCGTAGGCAGCAGAAGGGCCTGACGGGCCCACTCTGATGAAAGGCCTCCCCAGTTTATTATACACATATAATATTTGTTAAATAATTATTGTTTGATCTATTTTAACACAATTAGAGAACTATTATAACATGTCAAATAACTAAAATAAATCAAATGAGTTTGATTGGCAGCAGTGTTAGCCAATTGTTATCCAGGCTGTTTCGGTAAATGTAAATGTAAACGAATGTAAATTCGTGCGTGTTCACCCATTCAGTTGGACTGTAATTTGCAGCTGTGTTAGAAAATGTTAGAAAAACAGCAGCAATGCATAATTATGTAAAAAAAAAGACTTTTAAAATCTCGCATTGACGAGGGAGAGAGCCCGTCCATCAGTCCGCACGCGCGAACCGGTTCATTCTGTGAAGCCGGGAAACACTGTCAGGCCGATTATGAATGTCATTTGAGCTCAGTCAGTGTTTTCAGTCGGTGTTCAAAGTCGTTTGGTATGCGGCGTCTAAAGAATTTAAGACCAGCTGTTGCCAGTCGTCCTCACATTAGCCTATTTATTTATTTATTTTATAAATGTTGTGACTGACGCCGGCGATTAACTGCACCAGTTCCTAATTTGTAGGCCTGTTAATTTAAATAACGAATTAACAAAAAAAAAACAAAAAAAATCACAAACATGACATTTCTGAATAAAATAATTTTATACACTTTAGTTATATCTAATTTGGCATTTTCAATTAAGCCTGTTACATTCTCCTTATTAGCCTATTAGGACTATTATTAATATTAAGTTACTTTTATTCTTAAATTAATATTAGGCTACAATTAATTTGTCCCGCAATAATTTCATAGCGCATCACCGCATAACTGACGCGCTGCGAGGATAATAAAGATTAGGCTAGCTTACTCCTCATTGAAAATGTTTTTAAAAAGGTAAAAAAAAACAGGTTTATTATACAATGAATTATAGGTCTATAATTAAAATTATTAACACTGCAATCATCAATGTGTACATTTTTTAAAAAGGTCTTTCAAAACAGGTTTATTATACAATGAATTATAGGCCTATAATTAAAATTATTAACACTGCAATCATCAATGAAAAGGCTTTAGGCCTATTTCAAGCACCAACTTTTTTAAAAAGGAAAAAAAAAACCTGTTTAACACGAAACATGTTTCTTCTCTCTTTATTTATTTCTTCTTTTAATTTTTTCCCCCACTAGCCTATGTTCGAGCCACAAGAGAAATATTATGGGAGTAAATTAAAACATTTAGCTCTATGGCTACCATAGCATTATCAGCATAATGAAGTAGATTCGTCTCTCGTCGTCTCTGAGGGAATATGCGCCGTTAATGCAGCGTCAGATACCGAAAGCGCCATCAGTTTTTACTTTCACTTTCTAGTGAATCGACTGAGATTAAGAGGTTCGTTCACCACATAACTCTTGCGCAAAGTTTGCACGTTGCTTGTGTGATATCCATTGGCTCGCCTTCATGGTTTAAAACAAATATTTACAATATTTCCTCATTTGCGGTTAAAACTTCTCATATGAATGGCTGCATGACATGTATAATTCAGTTTAGACAGTTTAGACAGTGTCAGTAGATGTTTAGCATCCCTGGTATGAAAATGATCGCTGAGAGACGCTGGCGGAGTGAACGAGGCTTGAGAGAGTTGTGAGTGAGCTATTATAAGCGTTTTTGGACTTGTCTTTTCCACTTAATTTAACACTTTAGAAAGTTAATAAAGTAGGAAGTTGCCGTTTAGAGTCTGCGATATCTTTATCTTATCTTATTTGCAAAAGATTGGAAATAATTTCTTTC